GCCTTGATTTTGGGGATGTCACATACCTGGAACAGGTGTTACACCTATGGCTTGTGGTAATTTTCGTGCTTGGTCCCTAACTTATGTTTTTAAGTCGGAAAGTCCCTACTGTTTGTTTTTGTTACGCGCTTTGTCCATAATGTTCGTTTTTGTTATGCGTTTGGTCCTGTCTTATCTAAAAATACTATTATTTAAATAGGGAAAAATTGTGACATCCGCAATTTCACGGCCAGAAAAGACCGATTTGTTTATGCTTTGTTTTATAAATCAGAGTAATCGTTTAAAGAAAACGGTTGCAGAATTTCTTCCCAAAACAAGATATGATAATAACTTATCAAAACATTTCTCAAAGAGAATGTATTATTTTATTTATTTAATAACAAAACCTCGGGATGTCATGTTCCGATACAGACCAAAAGCCTAAATAATATAAAATAGACCTTTCAACAGTTATTTATAACTACTGATCTATAATCCAAAATCTCTCGTCAAGTCCATCCACTTATACCCTTGTGCCATTACCTGTAATGCAAAGAAAACTGAGTGGGTCAGGCTTGGGATCCTGGTGAGCATATAGGGTTTTCAACCCACAATAATAAATTTATTATATTCAATTATCAAACAATCAACCCAAATACCCATCCCCATATCTCCTTTATTTTCTCAAGGGTTTACCCTAAGAATCAAATATCCTTCATTCATTCATTCCTAAGGATTTACCTAAGGAACTGGCATAAAGTCCATTTGCTACCATGGTTTATACAACAGGCACAACGTCACATAGTCACCAAGGTTCATATGATAGGCACTACGTCTCATAGTCACCAGGGTTTAGACAACAGGCACGAAGTCACATCGTCACCAAGGTTTTATCAAATAGGCACGAAGTCGCATCATCACCAAGGCTTACTCAATAGGCACAAAGTCGCATCGTCACCAAGGCTTTACTCAATAGGCACGAAGTCGCATCGTCACCAAGGTTTTACTCAATAGGCACGAAGTCGCATCGTTACCAACTATTCTGTCTATCCATGTTCTACCCAACAATTTTGTAGATATAAATACAAACACAGTTTAAATCATTTAACACCCGTATAAAACATCAATTCCAAACCCATCTCAAATAGACAAATAATATATAACACATAGCACGTATTTCATAGCTAATACTTTATAATTTATGTGTTCGAAGAAAGTAACTATACACTCACACTAAACATATACTTAATACATTCAAACAATACTTGTATTAAAATTGTGTTTACGAAAGGGACTATACACTCACATGATTAGACGATGCTCGGACAGCACTACTGCTTGTAAAAGTAGTATTCTTTGGTAGATCCGGAAGATCTTCACAAAAATCGGCTTCTCGCAGGCAGAGCTTCAGCTCGGGAAATTCACTTCTCTGGATCTTCTGGCTTCGGGACTTGCTTCGGGGATCGAGAATGATACCGAGGCTTCGGGGGTTAAAATAGGGCTTAGAGAGAGTATCGGGAGTAGGAGAGATGAGAAGGAGCAACCAAAATCAGCTGACCCTCGATTTTTATTTATAGGGTGAATTTTCTTAGTTCACCTCATGAGTTTCTAATATTCACCTCGTGAACTTGCTCACCTCGTGAGTTTCTAATATTTACCTCGTGAGCTCGATACGTCATTGCGTTCGTCATGGCCACTTGCCCTGGAAGACGTCCATCATCTGTTCACCTTGTGAATTTCTACTATTCACCTCGTGAATTCTGACAGTTTTGGGGTTTCGCGCCCCGAACTTCAGAAATTCATAACTTTCGTATACGAACTCCGTTTTCGACGTTCTTTATATCCACGCGTAGTTAAAAACAATATCTACAACTTTCATTTAGACTTTATTGGCTAGTTTTGACATTAATTTTAATGTATTATTTTTAATAGGCCGGAACAGAAAAACTCCGTTCGAAATTCATAACTCCTTCATCTGAACTCCGTTTTCGTCTGTCTTTTTATTGTTGGAATACTATTGATGAAATCTTCAATTATAATTTAGAAAGTTTTGGCTAAATATCACTCGAACTCAATCTCGAGTTTCGGGCTGCATACTGGTAAAGCTGAAACTTCGAAAGATCATAACTTCCTCATACGAAGTCAGATTTAGACGTTCTTTTTATGCACGCTCCCGATTTAACGTATTCTACGAATTTCATTTAGATCTATAAGGCCAAATATTGCTCTAACATAAATTCACTATTTACATCGCGCTGTGTCGTGCCGGTTCTGTCGCGAAACTTCGACATGTCATAACTTCTTCGTTATAACTCGGATTTCGGCGTTCTTTATATGTACGGAATCCTTGTAACATATACTACAACTTAGGTAAGATTATTCCTTCAAAATAATATTCAATCAAAAAGTAATTTTTGACACTTATTGTCCTTAAAATGACTAGCCCTAATCTACGGGCGTTACAAAAATGGTGAGGTAGGTAAGGTAAGGTGAGGGGTGGCATTGAGAGTGTGTTTATTTAAATAAATTAAAAAATAGAACGGAAAACAGTTTTTTTTTTGTCAGACAGAGACCATGCACGTAACAAACACAAACACTAGAGACCTTCCGAGTTAAAAAAAATAAGTTAAGGACCAAACGCACAAATTACCCTAAGTCATAGGGACCGTTCGTGTAATTTTCTCCTACAATTACCATCACAACAAGCACTCTACATTCATAATTAAATGAAATCCACACATTGTTTCATATTTTTCCTCAAATTGAAAATATGACTAAAATGATAAAAATTGTACATGACTTTCTGAATTTTATTAAATTTATATTTAGACAAATATTTGTATATTTTTCCTCGACTTGAAAATTATTACCCTTTTGTAAACTATTTGATTTTCAATATCTTTATATTTACACATACAATTTAGATGAATATCCACACACACTATCCCTAAACTTGAAAAATATGACTGTGTATAACGTTATGGTTGTATCTTGACTAAGTACTTTTCAATATCTTTATATTTACACACACAATTTATTTGAGTAACTACATTTTTCCTGAATTTAAAAAAATGTCCGTTATAAAATGTTTTTGTTGTAACTTGATTGTTTCATTGTCATTATCTTTACGTTTACACACATAATTTAGATGAATATTAACACACTTTGTCTAAACTTGAAAAATATGACCATTATAAAATGTTACCGTTATAACATGACTATTTGAATTTGAGTATCTTCACATGTTTAGCCGTCATAGCATTGCTACTTAAAAGGAGCATCCACAAACGAAACAATGACAAACATATCCATCCATGTCTCGAAAATTTGAGAAAAAACATAGCAACAAGAACAAAAATATTTTCAGACTCTTGCTCGAAAATATCAATTTCAGATGAAGTTGTTTTGCACTATTATGTTAAGTGTTCATAACATTTCAATTGTAAGTTTCCTTTTATATTATGCAACTTATGTATCTTTACAAACTAGGCTTTATCGTTTATTCAAGAGTAAAGTTACTCAAAAATGTTGGCTTATTATAAAGTATTATCATATTGATTGTAATAGGTAAACTTCTTAATGCATATTCCCAAAACATCGATTAATGTATAATCATTGCCTATTTTAAACTTTTTATTAAGAATTTTGTAAGTTATGGTGGTGTTTATCGGTTTACCAATCTAGACATGTTGATTGCCCTCTTCAAGTTCATTGCATTATGTATTGTTGAGCATAGATATATAAAATAAATAAATAAAAATTAGCTCTCTATATTAACTTTTTTCAAGATTATAATAAATTACAAGAATCTAAACTCTATAATGAATTTACAATAAACTTTATCTAATTTAAATTCATATGATCATGTGTTTTGATTTTGTTTTTCTTATTTGGGCATTTGTAGTGGATCCTGATATTTATAGTAGCAAATCCCGATTAGCATAAAATGTAATTTAAGGGGTGTTTGGCTCACATAATGTTTTTTGAAGGAACAAAATATGTAAAAGGAATTCGTTTTGAAGGAATGGATTGTGTATTCAAGTATTCGATATTTAACTACAAACAAAATAACATTTAGTGGCACAAACCTTTAGTGATACATATATTTTTTTCTACGTTACCAAGTTTTCAACGACATTTGACGTAGCATTATAAAAATTGTAGGATTTAAAGCACCAAACATTTTTATGCGATTATATTACAAAAGCAAAGTTATATAATTATTTGACTATTATACCACTTTCATAAAGCTAAGTTTAAAATATTTTACATATATATATATATATATATATATATATATATATATATATATATATATATATATAGAGAGAGAGAGAGAGAGAGAGAGTTAGGTTCAAATGTTTTTAACAAATATTGTGTGCCTAAATGCACCAATGAAAATTCAAGAAATAATAAATTATTAAATAAACCATTAAAGGGTATTTTGGACTTTTTATGCTTTTAATTAAAGGAAATTATTTAATTGGAATCCTATAATTAAGGAAACAATAGAATATCACGTATCTGATCCCTTAAATCATGGTTCCTTCATCTTAATAACCCTAATTCTATATCAGAGTATAAGATTATCTTCTTCACCCACCATAGTCGAAATGTACAACCACGAGATAGCCACCTCCACCGTATACAAATGCGTACCAACAAATCACACCACCGACGACACCGTTGTTTTTCCCCTTCCACCATCCAAACCCTAAATCTGAAACCGTAACCACTATCCTAGTTTTGGTCAATTAAGAAGCCAGTGTTTGATTTTGGTTCCAATTTCCCTATGAACAGATCATTGTTCATCGTGTCACGCAAATAATCGAAGATGGTGTTGGCGGAATTAGGGGAGCATTTCACGTGCTCTCCAGCAGATGAGCAATGCCACAATCATCAATGAGAAGGTCCTTAATGATTGTTCAAACGAGATCACGCGCGCTCTTCTTCAGGTATGTTTCCACTTTCCACCAGAACCCTAATTTTATCTTCTTTCTTCTTCAAATCGTCTAAAAACTATGTTTCATCTTCAAACAGGAGGGCATATTAATCCAGCTGTGACATTCGGTTTGTTATTAGCAAGAAAGCTGTCGTTGACCAGGGCAGTGTTCTACATGGTGATGCAGTGTCTTGGAGTGATCTGTGGTGTCGGATTTGTGAAAGGGTTTCAGGGTGATGCGCGGTACACGACGTTAGGCGGTGGTGCTAATGTCGTCGCCCATGGTTACACCAAGGGTGATGGTCTTGGTGCTGAGATTGTTGGCACTTTCGTGCTTGTTTACACCGTGTTCTCTGCAGCTGATGCTAAAAGAAGCGCCAGACTCCCATGTCCCTGTATGCAACTCACTCCATTGACTATTGAATTATATACAGATATTCACTTTAGAAAAGGTGAGATTTTTATTTTGAATTAAATTTGAATGTGTTTATTGTAGATTTTCGCTTATTTTCCAATTGGGTTTGCGGTGTTCTTGGTTCATTTGGCCACCATCCCCATCACCGGAACTGGATGTTGCTTCTTTGGTGATTCATTGACTGTCAATCAAAAGGAAACACATGTTGAAACAGAATAAAAGTTAATTTAAAACTCAATCAGGTATCTTATTTTCTTTATTGATTACAATATTCTATTATCTAAGATTTGATCAGATAATATCTAGCAGAATTTCAGAATATTCTTTGTATTCTAGCAGAATTTCAGAATTTCAGGATTCAACATCCAAAAACAACAATATTCTTTCAGAATTCAAGAAGAAAACATGGAGAACAAGAGTATTCTAGCAGAATGTCGTTGACCAGGGTAGTGTTCTACATGGTGACTATTGAAGACATTAAATTCTTTCAGAATTTTAGGATTCAACGTCCAAAAACAACAATATTCTTTCAGAATTCAAGAAGAAAACATGGAGAACGAGAGTATTCTAGCAGAATGTTGTTATTTTTTAAGAATGTTATTCATTTTTGTTGATATTCTTTTAGAATATTTATAACTATATTTAAAATGTATAAGATTTTTAGTCTGTAAGAATATGTATGAATTTGTATTTAAGTTCGGATGTATAAGAATATATTAGAACGTTTGTTATTTTTCAACATCTTATTCAAGAATTTTGTTTTTCTTCAATAATATTATATTAGAATAAAATTCTGAAAGAGTATCATTCTAACAACAAATATTATGACAGGATAAAATCGTTAAAAATTGAAATTGAATTAATTAAAAAATTCAGATTTTTTTAAATTAGGAGAATTAATCATCCCTAAAATTCCAAAAATTTCCTTTTATAAATGTAGTTAATTGTCCAAAATACCCTTTTGCTAAAAATTGTGTGATTATATGGTACATGTTACCCCATTGTAAGATCATACACTCTCAAATCATATCCATTGATCAATTTCATCCGTTGGTCCAGATCTGTGCATTCTGGCACATAATACTTAGTAAAAACAAAATAACCTAGCCCTATATATATATATATATATATATATATATATATATATATATATATATATATATATATATATATCTTTCATAAATATTCAAAATATCTTATTTACCCAACTATTTTTAATCATTTTTTTTATCCTTAGTTTTTATTTATATGATATGAATTAACAAAATATGTAAAAGTAGGTCGCATTGGATAAAAAAAAATATGAAGATAAAATTCATTATGCATCGAACTTTTAGAGGCCAATAAGATCGAAATAGGGAATAAGATGACATTAGTCAATACTCGATAAGATCTCCTTACTTGTATTAAACAAAATAGGGAAACATGTTCAATAAGATCATATTGTCATCAATGGTAATGTCAATGATTAATTTTCCTTGGGATCATCCGTGCTATGTTGTTTGTGATGCAATTAAGAGTACATTGAATGAAACTTTTAATACACGTAAACAGGTTCAATAATGCTAGCTAAAAAAAAGAAAGGAACCTTCAACTGCAGCTAAAATCTCCACCGTTTTGGTTCTCGCCGAAAAGAAAAAAGTCAAACAACTAAACATTGGAATTAGTAATGCTGGGGAATTTTGAGGCAAAGGAAGAAACTCCTAAAGAGCCAAAGTTTCAATGCAACCAGAGGTCAAGCAACTCAACAATGGTGACAATATTAGATGATTCAGAACCCATCAAGAATTGTTTTTTTTTTCGAACGGCAAGCTGGTATATAAATAAAAACTAGCCAGAGGCTAGAAGGTACAAAGTTTAGCAAGGAAAAAAGATAGGAAAATACAAGAAAAGGAAACAGAAAATGCAACTAAATAGCAGGAGCTAACTACATATTAGCATAACATTCCCGAATAGGGTCGCAACACCAATCAAGCCACCTAAGGGATACACCCTTTCTATTCCTCGCACCCATCAAGAATTGTATACCCAAAAGTATGCATGGAAGGAACTTGATGTATTTAACTTTAGTGATTTAGAAGTTGTTGAAAAAAATTAATAGTTTTATTTAGTGGTACATTTCTCAATCCCGTGTTCTAGATACAACCTAGAAGCACATATGATTCTTGATTATGTATTATTCTAATTTTGAATTTATTTGAGGGTGTTATGAAGAGGTTAATTTGTCACACCCCGAAAACCGAAGGCGGAAACATTTCCGGGGTGGACTCCACGTTGAGTATCAAATCCAATGCACATAGTAAGCAAAGTAAACAACCATTACATTAGATATCAAAGTTTACATTTGTTCAAAAGTAAAGTTGTACATTTGTGATACATAGTATATATTTCCAAAAGTAGAGACGAGTCTTCTGTACGCTCCGTCTTCTCCAAAAGGATCGCTAGATACCTGTCTAATGTTGACCTGAGAATACAAGCAGTTTGAAAATCAGCATAAAGCTGGTGAGTTCATAAGATGTTTGTTTTCTGAAAAAGTACGAGTTTCCTTTGGTTTTCCGAAAAGTTTGTTATCCAAGAAAATCCCATATTTTTTTATATGTAAAGTTTGATTAAGTGATTTATTTCACAATTCTGGTTATGTACAATTGTTATCGTAGGAAAATCCTATATTTTCCTAAAAGTAAGTTTCGTTATTGAATTTCGATGTAATGATTGATTACCTTTCGTACTTGTTAGATTAGTTAGTTATTCTGATATCCTAACAGTGTTACACTTGAATGTACCTAGACGTGTGCCTTCGTATTCGTATTTCTATTCTTAATCATATTCATATTTATATTTTAGATTTTTATTTGTATGTATATTTGTAGTCCTATTCGTATTCGTACCCGCATTCGTATTCGCAGTCGTATTCGTATCCATATTCCTACTCCTAATACTATTTGTATTCGTAATCGTATTCGTATTCATAGTCGTATTCGTATCCCTAATCCTACTCCTAATACTATTCGTATTCGTATTCGTATTCGCAGTCGTATTCGTATCCCTAATCGTACTCCTAATACTATTCGTATTCGCATTCATATTCGTATTCGCAATAGTTCTAAATGATGATTAGTATGAATTATTCATAGATTATGAAACATAATTTAGATTGTAACATTTTATCAAGAAATCTATTATTAGTCTGAAAGCTAACTTCGTAATTCGAACTATTTGATAAACACAGTTTTTGATATTAGAACATACAGAATGAAAACAATTGAACTGAAAATAAAAAGTTGGAGTACAAGATTTCGTTGTACTTTTGCTTGTATTCCCCCTGAAAACAGTGAAAAACATTTGAAAAAGGGTAGGGGTATGAACTCACCGATTGAGGAACGCGTCGGTTTGGATCCTAAACGTCAGTTATGGGTTTGCAAACGCACAAGATTCCTATGTATTATAAAAAGATACACACTTGTATCTAATTAGGACTTGAATTATTTATTTGTTAGGGACAAACACTTCTAGATGCGAAAACACTTCATTACAAGCGTTTGGAGGGACCCGGATGGCATTTGAGGACACATAAGGCTTGGATATAGAGTTGGGACTTCAAGAGTAAACTCCTTAGGGACTTTACGGCCCTATGACCCTAACCATATGAGTTCACGACCGTGACCTCATGGGTGTGGGATTTATGGTGCTAAATGGCCTTATATGACTTGGGAAAATTAGCTAGGATTAATTCTAAGGCCTTGGAATGGATTAACCTCACCTATGGACCATTTATTGGAGTTTACGGCTGTAAACATGGAGTTTATGGCTGTAAACTCCTCCTCACATCAAATCCTTAAAGTTTTGGTCCTTAAACAATCACATGTGATTCCAATGATTTTTCCCAAGCCTTGTATGGATTTTTAGGGGACTTTTAGCATGGATTTAGGAGTTTACGGCCCATGAACCCCCCTCATGGCCGTGAACTCCTTAGATGGGTGTTTTATTATGTTTTAAGGCTTCTAAATTGATGGTAGACACTTCTAGAATTTATCCCAAGGTTTAAGGTGTGTTTAAGTGGCATCTTAACACATTTTGAGACGTTTACTCTCCAACAATATGAGTTTACGGCCCAAGCATGTTCTTGGGCAGTAAACTCAAGTTTACTCCTCTAAATTGATGTTCAAGGTGTTCCAAGTCCAATTTCATAATTCTATAAGTCGTATCTAAGCCTTATTGGTGTTTTGGAAGGGTTTAAGGGCATAAAAACCCCTTTAATATGTGTTTACGGCCCAAGCATGCTCCAGGGCCGTAAACACATGAAAAAGGCCCTAAATTATGGTTTAATCTCGAATTTGAAAGCCAAAGATGTTGTACTAGGAGTTAGGGAAGGTACCTTGATGATTAGAAGCCTTAAATTGGTGATTTTGGACCCTTAAACTTGGTTCAGGAGAGAGGTTAGAGAGAGAGTAGAGAGAGAGGGAAAAAACTTCAAATGATAGCTTGAACACGTTTAAATAGGTTCCAAAACTTGGACATGGTGGAAATTCTACCTGATACCGGCATTAAACGGGGCTTTTGGTCGCACCCGATTAAGTTTCCGTAACCCGGCGGGGACGTTTCTAAAATTTCTGAAATAAACATTTTTGGGCTAATTTCATGAGTTCCTAAGGGGTTTGGACACTCATTAGTATTAAATAAACATATAAGTTTAAATAATTTAACCCAAAAACGAAATCAGAACGAACTGATAAACGGCGAACTTTTACAGGTAGAATGGGTTTCAGCGATGGACAACTTCGGGTTGTCACATAATTAGAGAAAACCAAAACAAGTTTCAACTTTCAAATGTTGTAGCTATTGCATTATCTTTCTATTTATTGCAATTTGTTCTATGGTTTTGACATATACAAGTAACGAATATGTTTTTCAATCTAGCCTTAAAAGTTAAATCAAGTTAATAATTGAAATTATAAACTGACTTTGTGATGCGCTTTTGCAAGTTAAATTTGGATTTATGTGACATTCCATGTCCTTAAACATATAGGTCGATCTAAATGGATAAAATCTTCCATCTTGGTGTCCATAGAAAATAGAAATACCCAATAGTTAGAAAGCAATAGCCTGAGTAGTCCAATTGAGTCTGATACTTAACAATTGTTAGGCCAAGTCCAATCTAGCTATTCTAGATTAA